CTTGGCAGCTTCCATGTGGTTTTGGGCCTGCAAGTGCACAGAAGTCAAGAATTGAGGTTTGGGAGCCTCCACCTAGATTTGAGAAAATGTATGGACATGCCTGGATTTCCAGGCAGAAGTGTGCTGCAGGGGTGGAGCCCTCATGGAGAACCTCTGCCAGGGCTTGAAGCCCAAATACAGAGTCCCCACTGGGGCACTGGCCCAGTGGAGCTGTGAAAAGAGGGTCACCATCCTCCAGACACGAGAATGGTAAATCCACTGAAAGCTTGCACTGTGCACCTGGAAAAGCCTCAGACACTCAATGCCAGTCCATGAAAGCATCTGGGAGCAGGCTGTACCCTGAAAAGCCACAGGGATGGTGTTTGCCAAGGCTGTGGGAACTCACCCTTTGCATCAGCATGCCCTGGTTGTGAGACATAGAGATAAAGGTACTTATTTGGGAGCTTTAAGATTTAATGCCCTTCTGAGTTTTGGACTTGCATAGGGTGTCTAGCCCCTTTGTTTTGGCCAATTTCTCCTTGTTGGAATAGGAATATTTACCCAATATTCCTGTGCCTGCATTGTATATTGGAAGCAACTAACTTGTTTTTCATTTTACAGGCTCATAGGCAGAAATGACTTGCCTTGTCTCAGATGAGACTTTGCACTTGTGCTTTTGAGTAAATACTGGAATGAGTTAAGACTTTGGGGGACTGTTGGGAAGGCATGAATATGAGAAGGACAGGAGGTAAGAGAGGGGCCAGAGATGAAATGATATGGTTTGGCTCTGTGTTCTCATCCAAATCTCATGTTGAATTGTAATCCCCATGTGTCAGGGGAGGGGCCTGGTGGGAGGTGCTCAAATCATGGGGGCATACTTCCCCCTTGCTGTTCTGATAGTGAATGAGTTCTCATGAGATCTAGTTGCTTACAAGCGTGTAGTGCTTCTTCTTTCACTCTTTCTCTCCTGTTCTGCCATCTGAAGAAGGTGCTTTCTTCTCCTTTACCCTTCCACTATCATTGTAAGTTTCCTGAAGTCTACCTAGCCATACTTCCTGCACAGCCTGTGGAACTGTGAGTCAGTTAAACCTATTTTCTTTGTAAATTACCCAGTCTCAATTATGTCTTTAAAGCAGTGTGAGAATGGACTAATACAGGCGTTACATTCAAAATATCTAAGAAAGAACACCTGAAGCTAACAATAAGAAAGTGAAATCTCAGTTTAAAAAGTGCAAGACATCTGAATAGACATTTTACCAAAGAAGACATATAAATATCAAATATGGATCGCCAAGGTAATTCTGAAGAAAATGCAATGTTGTAATAATTGACCTTTTCATGCTATCTCTCTTTATGTTTCACAAGTGCTAACCCTATTTGACTATTATACTTCCTTCTAACTCTATCTTGTGTCTACTCCCCAGAGAAAAAAAAGCAGCATAATGTAGAAATACCGTAAGAGCATACCGGCTATCGAACACCACATTTAGCAGTCCAGGTATCTCTGGAATAAGTGTACTGTGATCAAGGACACATTTATACGGAGCCTTATTTCCATTTGTAATGTTTTTTGTTTTTTGTTTTTTGTTTTTTTTTTTTGAGACGGAGTCTCACTCTGTCGCCCAGGCTGGAGTGCAGTGGCCGGATCTCAGCTCACTGCAAGCTCCGCCTCCCGGGTTCACGCCATTCTCCTGCCTCAGCCTCCCGAGTAGCTGGGACTACAGGCGCCCGCCACCTCGCCCGGCTAGGTTTTTTTTTTTTGTATTTTTTAGTAGAGACGGGGTTTCACCGTGTTAGCCAGGATAGTCTCGATCTCCTGACCTCGTGATCCACCCGTCTCGGCCTCCCAAAGTGCTGGGATTACAGGCTTGAGCCACCGCGCCCGGCCCATTTGTAATGTTTTGTCCTTTGAGTTTGGTGGTGGTGTTAATCAGTATTTGTGTTACTATGTGTATTATCTTGTATTGCAATGTGTTAGTTTTCCTTCATATTATGTTTCACATTTCTTTGTCTGTTTATATTTTTTAAATAAACATTTTAAAAATATTTGGAAATGAGGCTTTATAAAAAACTCTTTTGGAAAATTATCTTTTTAAGTGGAATTAGAGGAGAAGATAGTTTCTAGATGAGAATGTGGCCATAAGATGGGTTTAATCAGTTATTTAGGTAGGTAGTATTAAGGACCGGTAATTCAAATCATGAATCTAAACTTTTAAATACCCTCATGCAAGTTCTTTAAATTCTCTAAGTCTTAATTTCTTCACAGAAAACAGAAATTAAAATGTTTTCTATGTGTTCTTGGTAAGATTAAATTGCATAAAGCACCTAAGACACCAGTGACTGTCACAATGCACAACTATAGTTAGCAAATATTATTCTCATACATTCTGCTGTAGTAATTTGAAAATAATTCTCTATAAAAGGTAAATTCCAATTTTTAAAATATATGTAAATTGTCTGACCATGGTGGCTCATGCCTGTAATCCCAGCACTTTGGGAAGCCGAGATAGGCAGATCACCTGAGGTTAGGAGTTTGAGACCAGCCTAGCCAACGTGGTGAAACCCCGTCTCTACTGAAAATACAAAAATTAGCCAGGCATGGCGGTGCGTACCTATAATCCCAGCTACTCAGGAGGCTGAGGTAGGAGAATCACTTGAACCCAGGAGGCTGAGTTTGCAGTGAGCGGAGATTGCACCACTGCACTCCAGACTGGGTGACAGAGTAAGACTCCATCTCAAAATATATATATAATGAGTGCTTTATGTTTATGAGGTGGTTTATTAATTGCATTTAAATATAGAATTATTTGCATATTGTGTGCTTGGTTTAATTAGGATCAACAGTATATTTAGGATTGAAACGATTGCTAAATAAAAGAAAGGATTTCAACTTTAATTTTTCAAAGAATCAGATTTCTGAATGTATTTTTTGTTAGAAATTATTTGGAGATAGTGAATTTGACCTAGCTCAGTCACAAACTATTTATTTCGGCAAGAAGTTTTGAAATCTATGAGTTGGTGCATCATTTTCAGTCACAGTAGTTGAAAGCAGTTTTGTATTGGTTCAGATGCTGTGCTTCAGTGACTTTTACTTTGTCATAGTTGATTTATAAAGTGCAGTAATATTGAGAATACACTTATAGAAAATATATATTATCTTTTCACTCATGTATTCTACTTGAAGAATATATAGTATTATAAGCAATATTATCAATTCCAAACTTTTGATAGGAATTATAAGCATACTTACACATAACCTCAGTAGAAAATAATATTGAAGCTTATTATTATCTAAATAACTTATATATATATATGTCCTTTTAACCTCATGGAAAAATAAATGGATTCAATAAAGTACTTTAGAAATAGGCTTACATCTTGGGCTTTCACATTTTTCACTAAAATGAACCAATCTGCTCCCAATTTAATTCATTATTAATTCTTTAGTAGGCAACATAAATGTAATAAACAGAAAAAATTGTGTCTGTGTTAAAATAACTCTCCTAAATTGTATTAAATGATTAGTAATACTTCATAATCAGTATAAAGTAGGCATAGATTTGTTTGGGAGATGCACGTTAATGAATTTTGTTGTAAGAAAAAAATACATCATTAGACTTTGTACAGATTTCATCTGAAGACCTCTGCTAGATTGCCTTTCAATACGATGGCAACAGTATCCCAGCAGGATACTACAAGAGATAGTCATGTGACTAATCACAGTGGACTTCATGTCCTTGGGGTTGCAATACCAAAACTGACATTTTTTTATGCCATAGAGTTTGAGTCCTGACAAGCATCTGTGAAGCTTTTCTGCTTCATCTCACCCTGTCTATACTATATCTCTATCTAGAACAGGAAATGTGCCTCTTGGGTAAAAAATCAGGTTTAGAGATGTGAAAAATAGAAATTAGCATATTTTTTAAAGACATACACATATTCATATATATGTATATATAGTCCAATAATACATATATATATAAATATTCAGACAAAAAAATCTTACCTCTAATAAAATGTTTATATTAAGAAATATCTCAAAGATTAACTTTGAAAAGCATTCCTAGTGTGGATAAAAAAAGAGAAAACTATTTCACAGCTTGCTTTCTATGACACAATGGAAAATATTGACATGAGAAGAAATAAATTTTGGAAATCGAAATACTCTAAGAAAAGAGCATATATATTACTGATAGGTTGTGTTTTCTTCACAACATATTATCACTTAAAAGGCAATAAAAATTTACACAATAGATGGATGGGCAGTTAAATTAAACAACATTGATTCAAAACTTGAAAAAAAAAGTGGGGGTCAAAATATACTATTTGATTAAGTACTGGCTCTTGTTACTTAGGAGTCTGCCAAAAGGTTTGAATCTTATCCAAAGTAGTCTATTATACTTTTCACCATTTTTAAACCCTGAAAGCAAGGGAGACATAAAATACACAGGCATTGAATAAAAACTGAAAAGAAGCAATTAATTTAGAACAAATGTCCACTTCATGTGATAAAATCGAAGCCCTAAAAAGAGCCTAGTGACAGCTTTTAGGTGTTATGTCTCCCCCTAAATTCTGTGCTCAGACATAAGATTAGTTTTAAATCTTTGGTTGAGCATTTTAAGTTTTCATACTCATAAGACATTGTCCTTTCAAACTTTGAACATTAAATTAGCCCTTAGTATATTCACTTGATATATATCAAATTAATATCAATATCTATAATCTAAGCTCTCAAATGCTAGTTTTTACTTTTTCAATAGAATTCCAAAAAATACATTTAGGTGTACAAAGAAGAAGGGATTATGTAAGCTTATTATTAATTCTTTCATTTAGATGGACAGTGAGCTTTGGATGAGGTTAATAAATACTGCACTGAATTCTATTAGCAGTAAGGAAGTGCTTTATGTATTATATGGTAAATTATAAGGCTATGCTTTTAACAGATAACTAGATATAATATTTTTATTTTCTATTAATTATATTCTACCTGGTTGTGCATTCTTGTTTGGATTAATGTACTATTTTCTAATAGTTTAAAATTTACTGTAAGTGTTAACACTTTTTACATTTCAAAATTATGTGCTTTTAATCACTTTACAGAGAACATTTAGGTGGCATTATAATCAAAATTACAATGTCAAGTGAAGGTAATGTGTTACTGATTAAAAATAATTTATTTAAGAATATTCAGAATATAAATATAAGACAAAAGAAGAAAACTTAAAATACCCATAACATTCTCCACAACATAACCATTCTGAACACATTGATATAAACCTTTCCAGGTGCCAGTGGGTTCTTGATCCGAATTTATTTACATAACTTCAATATATTGCAGTGGGGGCTTTTCAAATAGGAAAATTAAAGCTACAAATGTTATTTGAAGTCTTTGTTTTTATATGATTTTGGTTAAATAGGTGCAGAGTCTCTGATGACATTACCAACTCTTAACACACTGAATATGCTTAATAAATTGCAAAGCACATAGATAGAAATGCTATATATGTGTAAATATATGTTCCTTGACATGAAAAAGAGAAAAAAGGATTCATTGAAGATAGTATTTCAATTAAGGCATTAGAGTATTTCACGTAGGTCTAACCTGAATATGAAAGAAACCCACATCAATACTATTCATCAAATAACAACTAACTAATTGAGCACTCACTATGTCTGTATACTATTTATCTTTTGCATGAGATGATTGCCATTATCCTAATTCTATAGGAGAGAAATGTGAGATACAGAGATAATAAAAACATTTAGGGACAAGAGAATATAAATGATAGAGCTAGAAGTTGGCCACATATATCCAATGTAAGAGTTTACTTTCTTAACCATTCTGCATTACTGATTCATAATTGTAGATGGCGATTCTAGGTGCTGTTAATAATAATGGTAGATTCATTCCACCCCATCTCATGAACTCTGAGAGAAATTCTGGACAGTCTGGAGTTATCTATATTCAGTAAGAGGTAAAACTTTTACAACTATTTCTCTTATTTAAAAAGCCATGCAACATTGAAATTTGGGTAATATTGATAGTAGCGTTGCACATTTATCAACAGATTCCAGCTGCCAGCCAAATCTTTTGCAATTACAGGTAATTAAGACAAGTAAAAGAAATGGTCAAAAATTCAATTTGCTATATTAATGTAAGTTATATTCTCCTCTTTTTTGAGAGGAAGTGGGAAGTGAAAATGGTGCAGTTGTTGGGGTCAGTTAAGAAATAAAATATATTGGGCTTCCTAAAGGATATATTAAAATATTGATTACACGGTTTTCACGTTATTACTTATTTCATTGTGGGACTTCCAAATATGGTAAAGATAAAAAAGTCATGTATGAATGATCACTTAAAAAATCAAATGAGTGTAATTCACCAAATAGGTGTTTTGTGGATGACAAAAAATGAAGTCAAATTGAAGTTTGCAAAATACTAGAGGAACTTTATATGTTTGAACTCCAATACAATGATTCTCAACTACAGAGTAGCTTTAAAAATATACCATTGGCCGGACACGGTGTCACGCCTGTAATACCAGCACTTTGGGAGGCCAGGGGGCGGCGGATCATGAGGTCAGGAGTTCAAGACCAGCCTGGCCAACATGGTGAAACCCCATCTCTACTAAAAATACAAAAAATTAACTGGGCGTAGTGGTGGGTGCCTGTAACTCCAGCTACTCAGGAGGCTGAGGCAGGAGAATCACTTCAACCCAGGAGGCAGAGGTTGCAGTGAGCGAAGATCGCAGCACTGCACTCCAGCCCAGGCTACAGAGTGAGACTCCATTTCAAAAAAAAAATATATATATATATATACACACACACATACACACACACACACGTATATATATAAATAATATATATATACACACACACACACATATGTGTGTATATATATACCATTAACAAGATACCACCACAAGCCAGTTAAATTATACACCTTCGTTAGTTATTTATGCCTAATGTTCCATTATAGGAACGCTAAGCATGTGGGAGTTATTTATATCCTACTGCTCAAGGTCATCGCCAAGGCCTGATTGCAAACATTCAAAAAATTGCAACCTCAGGCATAAATGGGTTAATAGGACCCTAACAGTGATAATCTTTTACACCACAAGTTATAAAAGCTTGCTCTACCACTTGATTCCAATAGGCTTGCATCCATGAGAAACTCTCCCCCTGTGAAAGAGGGCCATGAAGGATTTAGGTTTCTTGCATCCATTTATTTCTCTTCCTTGTTACCATCACCCAGTATAACAATGTCATAAACTAACAGTCCCTTAATCTCTACTGAGAGAAGCATTTCCATGCCCTTAGTATAAAGATGAAAATTTATTAAACAATTTCTCTGAAAATATTCAGGAAAAAATATTACCCACAAGTTACTATAGTGGTTTCTAAATGACTATCTATAGTGAATTTTAAAGTTTTCCTATACCCTAGGAGAGTCTGCTATCTCATTCAGAAGATTCTTATGTGCCACTAGTTTGCGTTTTTAGAAGTTTTAAATCAACAGAACTCCTGTTTTTCCTAATAAGCTCATATATGTTATGTCAGTTAATAAATATGGAACGGAGTACATGGCTTTGCAAAGCAGTGGAGGAAGAGACAGAAGGCCCAGAGTATTTTTATTTTACCCTTTTATGTGCAATTTGGAAGGCAGAGAAGTAACATGTGGCCCTGAGGGATGAAAAATGTAGCCCAGTTTCATGGTTTCCAAATTAACATACCAAGAAATCCAGCTGTACCTTTCTGCATCTCTTTGGATTCTATGAATTGCATTCATTTTTTTATAGTAGTCATCTTTTTTTTTCTGAAGTTACATCTTTCTGATTCTCACAACTGAAGAGCTACTACTAGAAGAACTTCAGAAAAGTACTTACATTTTAAGAACTTTTATTACTTAATCTGTCAGCATGCTTTGCTAGTTTCTGTTTTTCCCAGATCCTTAAGGCCGAGTTCTCTGATGCCCTTAACAGCTTACTCAAACCCATCTCAGTGCGTCAGTCAGGACTCACAGAAATAGGACAAATAAGATTGGCATTCTTTTACCCACCCCATTGCATGCATCGCATTCATTCTCTCCATGTCCCTATTAACCATAGCTATTAAGAACACGCTCTATTATAACTACAATCCCAGATGCAGCTGATGGCTTGCTGTGTTCGAACTGCCTCTTGGCTTGCTCACAGCTTGTTTTTATCATTAGGTAATGTTTCTCAGAGCTAGTTGGCGCTGTGACTGTTTATTCATCTGCACTTGGCTGTGCTTTTGGTTTCCTCATCTCATTTTTGGCCAACAGGCCCTACTCCTCAGCAAAGAGCAGAGACCGGTGTCTCACAACACCACAGATGTGAAATGACTGGAAAACAACACCCTGAGTTGCTGCCATGAGGAATGATATTTAAGTCAAGATACTCCCCAATGAGGGAAGAGACTTTCAGCTGGGATTCTAAATTAAAAAAATATTCTGCCTCCGTAGTATGAATTTAAAATAACCATCCTAACACCACAGTTAATACAAAGTGATGACCAAAGCAAGGAAGAACATTATAATAATTATTACTCAGGTAGTAGAGAGACATAGAACTGAAGCACCATTCCCACCATTGATAAAGCCACCCTTTTGCTGAGTTTATAAAAGGAAAGGAAGCCAAAGCTTCCATAGAAATTAAATGAAGACTACTCAGACCTGAAAGACTACCTTAAAAAAAAAAAAAAAAAAAAAGAACATAAAATTTTGAGTCTAGAAATAAGGCTCTGAAATTAGAAACTAGTATTCTTGGAGCATGTTGGAAAATTACTTATAGAGAATGAGAAGATGTTGGTCAAAGGGTGCAAAGTTTCAGTTATCCAGATGAATAAGTTTTGGAGATAAAATGCACAGCATGGTGACTAAAGTTAACAATACAGTGTTATGCACTTGACATTTGCTAGGAGAGTACATTGTAAGTGTTCTCACACCTCTACACACACAAACATCCCTCCCCATTACACACGTAAGTAACTAAATGAGGTGTTGGAATTGTTAATTAGCTTGATTATATTGATCATTTCACAGAGTATACATATATACATATATCAAACATCAAGTTGTGCACTTCAAATGTATAATTTCCATTAGTCAATTATACCCCCAATAAACTGAAAAAAAAAAAGGAAAAAAAAGAAATCTAGAAAAAAAAACCAAACAATTATTTTGATCTGCCTGGAATTAGCTCTTCTTGAAGAGGAAATAGAAACTGACTGGTAACCCCTTCTTTACCCTTTGTGACTCTTAAAGTATAATTATTTAAAATGTATAATTATAGGATAGACTTCACTTAATCCCACAAAAAGCCTTTGTTATTTTCAGTTAAGTCCTGCGTAAAACCAAAACAAACAAAAACCAAAAGACAACAACAAATAAACAAATAAACAAAGACGTGGCTAGTCTTACTACAGCTAAGAACCTAGAAAGGGTGCCTCATCTCTGTCTCTTACATTACAATTACAGTAGTCAGGCTAGAAAAAGTTAATCTGGAAGCAGCTCCAGTCCCTAAAAGTGCTTGATTTTGTCTGAGATCTTCATCTGACTTAAAAATTATCTATCTATCTATCTATTTATCTATCTATCTATCTATCTGTATATATGTGTGTGTGTGTGTGTGTGTGTGTGTGTATATATACGTATATATATTTGGCCCAAGTCACATAAAAGACAAGACGTAAATTATGCTCAGAAAGAGACCTAATCTGGTGATAATTTCTAACCCCATGTATGTATCAAGGCAATCTAATAGTCAAAATTGTGAAAATACATGACCACTAATTTTTTATTTCTGAAAGATCCCTAAATGGAATTAACTTGACTGCTGCAAATGGAACACTATAAGAATTCATGGAGTGACTATTGTGCAAGAGCCCCTGAGGACTGGCTGCTGTGAAGTTTGACACAGTTCTAATTTGGTTTCCTTTCAAAAGAGGTATTCCAATCTTCTCTTTGAATAATTGAGCAAAGCAATTATGCTATCTCTAGGAAAGCAATAATGTGCCCATGGAGGACAGTACAACATATTGCCTCATCATTTCATAATTTATTGATTTTAGAAAACAGTTAATTTCACTTTAATTAACCCATATTCTGCAGTACATGAAAACAGCCCAGTTAACCACTTCTTAAGTACACATTTAAAGAAGCAGTTTGCCATACCTAGTTGTACATCAGTGATTTTACCATTTTTCTTACTTATTCTGACTCAGTATTGTAAACATTGCCAGTTTATAGTTTAAATATTGGTTTAAACTCTACTGTTTATTTCCACTAGCTCAGAGTTCATAATGCATTTTGGATTACTTATAAGAAGATTGCCCAATTGCTAATTGAGAGTGCGAAAGTTTCATCCTTATCTCAGAAGGTTGTAAAATGTCAGTGATAAATAAATTGGAAAAGGGGAACATCCATCAAATGAGCAGAGTTTGAGAACTTGATACTCCAAACAGCAAATACAAATAAAAAAGGTAAATCTTAGGAAAAACACCACCAATATTCAAAGCCAAAATAAGGCATTAACACTTGAAATCATGAGTTAAAAACCCAGGGTAGAGGAAATTTTAAAATTTTCAGAGTAGAAAGGCTACTGGTTAGTGTCAAGAGTCAAATGGGATTATTTTTATTTGCCCATCCACCATAGCAACTTTATTCCATTCATTCCATCTTGATAGCTTTCTTGCAGCTCTTTTTTTTTTAATGTACTTTTTTCTTACTTTACTATTTCGAGATATACTGAAAATATTGACAAAGGAGAGAAAAAATCATCAATAATTCAATTTTTTTCAGATAAAATTCCTGGAAACATTTTAGCAGATACACTTCCAGTAGTATTTTGTTCATTTTCTATCTCTTCTTACTGTTGTGATACACAAGTAATACACAATAATCACAAAAAATAGAAGATAGAAATAATAAAAATCAAAGCTAACGAAACAGCCTCGAAGCCCCGAATCGGTGTCAGTATCCTAGTGCATATTTTTCCATAACAAAATGATCGGTGAATGAGAATGGACACTCAAGTTATTTGAACCTTAATGAGCAGTGTGAGAAAGACAGACTGATCTTTATGTTGACCAATTTAGGTTGCACCATTGCTGTCCCACTTATAAGGAATATATGACTGCGGCAATCTCATGGGATTTTTGGTCAAGTCCAAAATATTAGGCTGCAGCTCTGCAGAAGAAAAGCCTTTACCTTTCAATGGAATGGATGGTTTCATTGTCAATCATCCTGAGATAATTTTGGCACTACCCATACTTCCCCAAAGGGAGTGAGGGCAAGGACTCAGGAAAGAGAAGTTAGATTTTAAATAGATAAACTTTTCTTCTCTCTGAAGAAATTTATGAATATCAGATATGTATTGCTTTAGAAGTCCCTAATATAAGGATTATAAAAAGCATTACGAATTTTAATTTATATTTTTAAAGTACTCAAAATATTTTATGCAAAATCTAGACCTAAGAAAGAATTGCTAAAAATCGCTTATTTGACACTCTCTTCCTTTCTCTCCCTGCACTGCCCAAGGTGTCAGTCATATTATGATCATTACATTGTAAGATCCACAATACTCATACTGTGTTTTGTAGCCATAATTATTGGAGATAAAGATGAAAATACAAAGAAATAACTACTAAGAAAAGGGATATCTAAATCTATATATAGAAATATATACATATACATACACACATATGTAGTTATTAATAAGAAAATAGTATGCAAATACACACTAAAAACTAATTGTTTTTAATTTACTAAAATATCTTGTTTTATAAAATACATGTTTATTTGGCTTAAAATATGATAGCAAATGATATGATTAAAAGGTAATTATGTTAAAGATGTATTTACCAAATAAAACATACAAATAAGATTCAGTTTCATTAATTAATTTTTTCAAAATTTCAGAATATTGATAATTTCCAAATCTTACTAATATTTCAGAGCACTTAAAGTATGGTACACTTCACAATTGATTTTGTGAATCTAGTAAAATGACTCTAATACCGTTTTTCTGATAAAGAATTCTGTTAAGATGCTATAGACTGAATGTTTGTGTCATCCCAAAATTCATATGGTGAAATCCTAATCCCCAATGTAATGATATTAGGAAGTAGAGGCCTTTGAAGGCAATTAGGTCAGAAGGGTGGAGCCCTCATGACAGGATTAATGCCCTTATAAAAGAGAAAGGGACATGAGTCTTTCTCTCTCTGCCTCATGAGCATGCAATGAGAAAAGATAGTTGTCTGTTAACAGGAAGAGTGCTCATACCTGCCACAGAATCTACCAGTGCCTTAATCTTGGACTTTCCAGCCTCCAGAACAGTGAAGAATAAATGATTTCTGCTTAAGCCACCCTGTATATGGTAATTTGTTACAGCAGCCCAAATTGACTAATATATAGATTTTTAAAAATTTACCAGCAGATGCATGAATGCAAGCACATAAAATATAAAATGTGCAAAATAAATAACATAACAAAATATTAATCTGCACAACTAAATATATTCCTAGGTTTTGTTGTTTTAATAATAGAAACTATTTTCATGTACTTTATATCACATTAGTAGTAGAAAATGAACATCTCAATAGATGTAGAAAAATTTTAGTGAATGCAATTTGACATTATTCTTAATCAAAACCAACTAGTAACCTAAAAGTATTTTTTAATTGTAATAATAATATATTTTCGAAAAGCATCAAAGAAGTACTCACAATTTGTAAAAAGCTCCTGGCATAAAACAGGGCCCTAAAAAAGAAGAAGTGTTATAAAAGACATTTTATATATTTAGCAACATACAATTTAGGAGATTATTTTATTTAGGAGATTACAATAGGAAAACATTCATTAAGAAGGAATGCCTCAAAGGAAAGAGATCTGAGATTAAATAGACACAGGTAGACCAATTAGTCATGTGTAAGACTTATGGGATTTGCCACAAAGTTAGAGATGGTTCTTTTATCTGAGACATTCTGGAATGGTGGAGGTTGATCTTATCTTAGAATACACAAGAACAGCGTGGTCCTTGTGATGACAGATTTCCTAGAACACAAGAGAGTGGAGAAATTTCTTAATCGTTGATATTTTGTGGAAGCATAGGGCTCAGATGAAGTTCAACATTGTCAATGTCTTACCTGGAACATTACATGACTATGCAACTAAAGTTATCTACCATGAGCTTGGCATTATAAGATTCATCAGATCATGTAACCAGATAGCCACAGTGACCACTGTGCAAATGGTACATTTTAAATTGGGTCTAATAAGCTCCAAATTCATAAGCAAGTTATATATATGGGTGGCTCAAATTCTCATGTTACCTAGTTCTATTGTATCTATGCTTCTTCCTCAAGTCAAATTGTGATCTTATGAAGATATTCATATGATCAACTTGCAAAGAAAGAAAAAAATCAGGACTGGTTAAAATGTAAGTGGACTGTATTGTTCTAATTACTGACTAATACATACAATTTTTAAAAAATTTACTGACAGAAATTATACACTTTAATTATAGACTTTAATATATTAAAGTATGTTATTTTATATATTACATAACACTCTATATATTCTATACGCTATTACATATTATATATAACATATAATAGAGTATATTATTTCTGTCATTACAGATCTCCTCAGTGCTTGTCTTAATGACAATTGTAAGGGAAGAGCCTTCCAATAGCAAGACTTGATTATCACATGGAGAAAAGTGGCTTGAAGTATGAGTATACACAGGCTCCCCAGCAGGAGGGAGTGGCTTTTGCTGATTGATCAAGGTTCTAGAAGGTACAATATTTGAAGACTAGGGACAAAAATCTCTCAAGAAAATGTATATGGGCACATCTATGAGAAAAGCCAGAGAGCGCGTGACTATTAATGAGTCTATGCCACAGAAGAAATTTTAAAAATATTTTAGATTAATAGAATGACTCATCCTATGGACATAAGTCTATTTCCTTTCAGTCATCTATTTCTGTTCAGTGCTGATTCAGTGAACAGAGCAACCCTGGAGACAAAGGTAGAAAATTTATATGAACCACCATGATTAGTTCTCTTTAAACTCAGATCCCTGATGAGTTAATCACACCTCCGAATGACCAACTATGTGCCTTAGAGACTAATGCTGAACAATTTATATGGCATCATTCCTAAATACACAATCATTTCTTTGGTGGCAATTAAATGATATTGGACCATTTCTTAGAGGGAATGGGTCATACTTGAATTACCTCTTACCATGGATATGGGCTTGTCTTTCCTGTCCACAGTGCAACTGCTAGCATTACTAACAGCACAACTAATCATGAGTTTACATCATAGCTGATCTATTAAAATCATATTCCACATAATATTCCTGCAAAGGATTGCACACATTTATAAAAAGTGAGGAGCCATAATGGGTGTACAGCCATGGAATACACCAGTCTTATACAACCTATTAATCAGAAGCAGTTGACCAATGGTATGGTTTGCTAAAGGCTCAGACAGTGCATCAGATTAGGGATTATACTCTCCAGATTACAGCACTGCTTTTCAGGATGCAGCATATGCATTGGAGTATCAGCTGATACATGGTATTTTGTGCTCTATAGATTGAATGTGTGGACCAAGAGGTGGAAGTAGGATTGCCTCTACTACTTTTACTTCTAGTGAACCAAACATACAATTTGTTTTCAGTTACCTAATTTCAGTTACCTTAGGCTCTGCTTGTTTACAAGTGATGGTTTTCAGCAGAAACAACTCAGCTAAAAGACAGAGTAAGGGCTCCACTGAACTTGAAGTCGTAACTGCTCCCTGGCCTTTCGGGACTCTTCGTGTTACTGGTACTAACTGTACTAGCAGGAGGAAGAAGTAATTACTTCTAGTCATCATCAGGAAGCAAGTTTACTTCTATGAAACGGGAGTAGGGTAGGTTATGCCTCGAATACAACAAATTCATTGGGAAATGGCTTGGTCTTTCTGTGCCCAGTGATTAAATAGCCCAAGAGGACAGCAAAGTAAGGATACAAATCCTTGGGGGTAGCCTTCTAGTTCTAGGTCACACCAGTAGGCAAACAAGCAATTCAGGTCAGCTGTGGTGCTGGTCTAAGATGAGGGAAATACAGAGTCATAATAGAGAAGGAAAATTATGAATATCAATTACAATATTTGGACAAGTTGCAGCAACAGAGATTATTTTGTTTTACCTTACCTCTCTGTCCAGCTGTCACTATGGTGACAACACACGTTCCCTCTGCTGGAATGCATTTTCTTCTTAATGTTCATTCTCACACACCATTCAAGTCTGTTCAAATGTTACCCTCTTAATGGTGTCTTCCTGATTATTTTAAATTACATTTTTTTCCTACTCTTCAGTTTTTCTGTCCCCTCTTTTCCTGCTCTACATCACATTTAGCAATTTTAAATAAAATTACTTACATAAATGTATGCATTAATTACTTATTAATAGATATTTTTGTTGTTTATCTCTCTCCTTATATGTAAAATTCACATGGTCAAGAATTTCTGAGTTTTTTTTTTTTTCACTATTGTACCCCTATCATCCAGTAGAGTTCCTGGCTCATAGCAAATATTTAATGAATATTTATAAAACAGATGAATTAATTCACTTTATATTTTGGATGATGACTCCTGAATCTACATCTTCAACCTGCACATCCAAATTTATCTCTTACTCCATGCTTTCAGGTTACATACGGGCCAGAGGTAACATTATGTATAAGCAGAGTTGGCAGGATGTCGTATGGCATAATTTTAGTGCAGAATTGAAGACTTTTTTTTCTCATATGCCAAAGAATACCCCCCTTAGCTTGATTATTAATATTTCACATTTTTTACAGGGAATAATAATAAGGTTAAAATATATATAGTATTGGGAGAAGTAAGTATTTATACAAATCTATTCCCACTGTATTGAAAGGGTTTATATTAAGTAAAATTAAGGATGGGAAACCTAGGAACGCTAAGTAGCAGAGGCTGCAGTGAAAGTGTAAGAAAGAATATTTTTAAAGTAAGGGTTAGAGATTAAAAAGCAAATTCTACCTTCAAACTGTTTAGCAAGCCTCTGTAGTTTTCTCAAGCTTACCGCGCTTGCCCTAAAGTGTTATTACTTCGTGTTTATACTACCACATCTTTCCATCAACTTAATTCCTTCACACACCTTCTCAGCTTCAGTCAGTGGACTATCATTTTTTCATCTTTCTGAGCTAGGAAATTTTTTAGATCTTCTCTCTTCTTTGTTCACCATATATAAGTCAGTCATCTAGTTTTTGTCGACTCTTATGTCAGGATCTTTAACAGTGAAATCAAGACTCCACAAAGTGTAGACTACACCTGCACTGCCATTTACTGTGTGGAGATTATGTTAAAAAATGAATTACCCCTTGCTTGACTCTAACCCCTATGTTTCTTGCCATTCCATTTATATAGCCTCCTCCACAAAATGTCCTTAAAAGTTGTATCTACACTTAATATTCATCTCGAATGTCATCTTCCACTTTGGGAAACATCAAAGTGATGACATTTCTTCCTACCTTAAACTTCCTCCCTAGGTCTCTCTACTGGCATTTTATCTCTTGACTCCCTTGACTTACATCATTTTCTGTTAATGTTATCTGTGCACTTACTTTCCCACCATTACACGAAGAGTGTCTAAATCGCTGAGACTGTTCTTTAAATCCCCAACAATCCTCACAAGCATTTATTAAACAAGAATGAATAATGTCACTCCAGGTATAATTTATCCTCCACTTTTTTCCTGAAAGGATCTCTGGATCTCGTTGATGCTGCCTCTAGGATAAATTTTTATACCTCTCATCATGTCCTCCGATTCACTAGCTCTCACCAATGTGCTTCAGTTAACTAATTCAATCTTATTTTCTATGGTGCTCCTTACCCCAATTACTTCAGTATTCAAATAGTTAAGTTTCTTGACAATTATAGAGAAATAATTATGTATGGACAGAACTTAGGACCAGAGACAGAAATGGAAAGTGAAAACAAAGGTGTTCTCTCCACCTCTCAGAGTCTTTATAGTCTTGTCTCTATTTTTATCATTTTCTCTCTTGATTGCCATACTCTTGCATTCAAGCTGAGTATCCAACAAACATCTATGTATTCTTCAAACTCCATGCATGCACTGTAATTTTTATGTTAATTCCATTTATTATTTCTAAAGGAAATTTAATTAGCTTGGCCCAGGACAAATGTTGTTTTTGCAGGGACCAGAGAGGCCCTTGGTACAATCAGCTGAGACCAGAGTGAAGAAGTGAGGGTGCAAATACACTTCAAAACAGGATTGTGGACAAGGAACGCAAGACAAAACACTGAATATTTCATTTTTACTGAATGTAACTAGGAAATAATAATTTATGCAGAACCAGTCAGGATAGAAATATGGCTTTCATTAGGTTTTTAAAAATAACTGGAGACCTCATTATGATTTTATTACCATCATTTAACTAGAACCCCAATCATAGAATCATTGATTTTAATGCTCATTTGGATACTTTATCAGTGTGTTTCCTTGACAAGAAGACATCATAATAAAATTACTCATGCAAGAGATTTCCTGGATGAAACGCCTATAAAGAATAAAGGAGGAAGGAGAAGAGGTGAGAGGGAGCTTCAGATTCCAATGCAGGCTGAGAAACTGACATAAATGGAATGCATTCTCCACAGTTCATGTATTGAAAACAACCCTTAATGCAACAGTCTCAGGAGGTAGAACCTAACATAACATGTTTAGGTCAGGAGGGCTCTACCATCATGAATGGATGAATGCTGTTACGGCAGGAGTGGGTCTGTTATAAAAGTGAGCTTGGCTCTCTCATGCCCTCTCTCTCCTGTTCTCTGTCATCCTGTTGCCTTCCACTACAGGATCATGATAAGACGGCCCTCATCAGAGATGTGGTCCCTCAATTTTGAACGTTTCAGCCTCCAGAACCGTGAGCCAAATAAACTTCTGTTGTTTGTAATAACCCAGTCTATGGTATTCTGTTATAGCAGCTTAAAACCAACTAAGATGGCACCTGTGAAAGGAAAGAAGAAAGGAGGATCAGGGAAGAGCCTCAGTCTGTAGTGATGCTCTGAGAAAGCTGTGATCTGCCCGACGGGAAGCCCGAGAGCAAAACTTGCCTATTAGATGAGTTACACATTAGGCAACAGTGGAATGCCTGGAGTACCCCCGCCGTGCACAGCGATTAGATGGAAGGAGCCTGAGGAGAGCAAAGTCTCAGTGTGAATGGCGCATCTAACTATACCCCTTTCAGCAGGTTTTCTCATGAAAGGTCTGAGCAGTGCATTCCTATGCCTTCCTGAGCCACTGACTTGTCCTGTTCTCTGTGACATCTTCTTCCCAACAGAATGTAAGCACCACAAAATAAAGCAACGTACATCTTTGTACTGACTCAAGCTTGTGACTGTACTTGTTAAAAGGTTACATTTAACAGATGGTTTGATAGGATAGAGTGTGTTTTCCTAACTTTGAGAGATTATTTTTTAAATTAATAGATCCCAACAGTTTTAGATTCACTGAAATATTTGATACATATGAGTAATGAAAACATTCAGTATGCCATATGTTCTTTTTAACAACCTATTATTGCAGGTTAATTATACCTCATAGTTTTACTTTTCGTAGTATCTTTTATTATTTTCTTCTTCACAAGCAAGCAGTGTTACTGTAGTGTCTCATTCTAGATTTACAGATGACAATACTGTATCAGATAAAATGAGGCAAGCTAAAGACTTCTTCAGGTTCAGGAAATAGGTACATGGAAAAATTGAAATTAGAATTGATAACTGATGTACCTCTTAATTTTTTCCTCTGATTGATTTACATGGTCTTTGTTTTTCTGACTTTCTATTTTGAAACAAAACTGTCTGAATCTCTGTATAGGAAATCTTTAAAGATCAAAAACTCTAAGGATTGAATGCTCAGCGAATGTCTATTGGTCATCTTTAAGGAATTGGGTTGTCCTGGTTAGGATAAGTTGGCAGGTAAGGATCTCTTAAAAAATAAAGAAGCTGCAAAACTGCCTTAGTAAGAATTATAATTTACTTATTTGTTTCCAAACACTCTGCTCAGCAATTTATAAACATTATTGCATTCGTGAAATTGCCTTATTTGTATTTTATAGATGAAGGCACTGAGCTATACAAAAATTAATTGCTCAATGGTACACAGCTAGCAAATGGCAGAAGTAAGGTTAGAACCCAACTCTACATGACTCTAAAAATGTGTGCTTATTTACCACATCATACTGCTTTCTTCATCTGAGACAGTTTCTTAATTGAACAATCTTGAATTTTAAAGGCATTCTCGAAGAGATGAAATGTATCAAGTTTGACTACAAAGATTGAAGATATAGTAGAATTAAGATGTGTTAGCATTATTTCAAGCATTATGCCATCTCTAAAGGAGGAAACTAAATAAAAAGAAAACCTATGTGTATGTAGTGTTTATTACAAGCCAGGCTAGGTTTTATATATTGACATACCTATACATGGTTCTCACCGTGAACCTAATCTTGTTAGCCTATTTGATATCTAATTTCTTCTATGCTAGTCACTTCTCTTATTTTGGTTAGCATCTCCTTATTTGGAGACCTGTTTCTCTCCTTACTTCAGTCAGTACACTCCAGTGGCTACAGTCAATTATGTTATTTCATCTTCCTGGACTTATATGTAGACAATTAAAGTTGGACATTTTAATCAAAGCTCTTCCCTGGAATGTTTTCAATTAGATCCAAGATACATAAGTTATTTCCTTTCTAGTGGAAAAGCTACAAAGATAAGAAAAAATGATCTAAGAGAAAATAGGTGAAGGGAAGGGAAGTGAAGAGAGAAATTCTGGTGGTACTGGAGTCTCTCTTTCTGGGCATCCCTGAACTCCATTCCTACCATTGGTTCAGTTTGATTACATCAGTCAATACATTATCGTACCTGCCTAAGATTTTTTTTTATTGGGTTTCAAACTCTAAAAGACTCCTGACTATTTTGACCAAGCAATAAGGAATTCAGATCCTTAATCTAACATCTCACTACCAGTGAGTGATAAAATGGACTGGAACCCAGGCCTATCTTTGTCTCAATACAGGCTCTCTCTTTTTTTTTTTTTCTTTTTATTCTTATTCCATGATGGAATGTGTATGTGGGATGGTTAGAGAGGGGAATTGCCAGAAAATGTGGAAGCAAGTAGGGATGCTTACAATCTTTCTTTTTTTCAGCTAGACTTATAAGAGCAAATTAAGTGTTAATCTAATTTATCCAAACATCCATTAGACAGATAATGCTTTAATTAAGCTTTTAACTAAATAAAATAAGTACAATCAGGTGAAATCCTATATATAGGTGACCTAACTAGCTTTTCATCTAAAAACATAGAGACTTCACACATTTCCTCCTAAATATCTTGGCATACCTGCAATTTCTTTTCACACATATCTGAGCAACTATTTTCTTGATGTTCTGCTTGCTTCAAAACACAGCTATAAAAAATTTCCCCAGAGAAGGTGATAAATGCAACTCTAAGCCTAGGATCACTGGAGTCAGTTCAAGGAATGAAAGTAGAAACACTGAAACAGGAGACAACACAGAGTGATGCACTGGGTTTTTGTACACACTTCATTTCCTTTTCTCCCAGTGTTCAGGATCCTAAATCAAACCAAAATTGTGATAAAGAAATGTAAAAACATTAGTTAATTGAGTTTGATCAGAGTGCATTAATTACAATGAAGAGATGACAGGCAGAAATTAAAGTTTTTTTTAAAGACTAATGAGATTAGGCCGGGCACAGTGGCTCCACCTGGAATCCCAGCACTTTGGGAGACTGAGGTGGGTGGATCACTTGAGGTCAGGTGTTCAAGACCAGCCTGACGAACATGGAGAAACCTCATCTCTACTAAAAATACAAAATTAGTTGGGCATGGTGGCACACGCCTATAATTCCAGCTACTCAGGAAGCTGAGGCGGGAGAATCGCTTGAACCCGGGACGTGGGGGTTGTGGTGAGCCGAGATCGCACCATTGCACTCCAGCCTGGGCAACAAGAGTGAAATTCCATCTCAAAAAAAAAAAAAAAAAAAAAAAAAACTAATGAGATTTTGGACGTTGTTTTTTAAATTTTTAGTTGTTAGAGATACACAATATTTGTACATATTTATAGGGTACCGGTGATATTTTGATTCAAGCATACAATGTGTAATAATAAGATCAGAGTAATTCAGGTGTCCATTACCTCAAACATTTATCATTTTTATGTTTTAGGAACATTCCAATTCCATTCTTTTAGTTATTTTGAAATATAAAATAAATTATTGCTAATTATAGTAGCCCTATTGCGCTACCAAACACTAGATCTCATTTCTTCTATCTGACTGTATTTTTGTACCTATTAACTATCTCTTTTTGGGGGGGCCTTTTTTTCTGGTTTTACCTCCCTTCAAAATGTGAAGAAACACTTGGAATGTTATTCACCTTTAAAACAGCCATTATACAGTATTTACTGTTTATAAAATTTTATGCATAATAGAAATGCAAATAGTTATTTATATGTCTATAACTATATTTATATAGGTATAACTATACATGATCCAATCTTAACCTACCTCAAATATAAGAAAGTCTTATAAACAGTTTCAGGCCATATAATTTAAATTATTTGTTGAAGCAATTTCTAACTACTCACCTCTACTATGTTAAGAGTTTATGTCTTCATAAATGGTTATGTAGAAGGAATTAGTCAACACATGTAGTTTGGACTACTCACTAATTTGTTGATCACAAGTCTGACTCCACCCTACTTTTGCTTCCATTTCTATCTCTAACCTATTGCACCTTCCAACACTTCATTTTCTTCTCAGCAGCCAGAGGGAATCATTTATAAATATTCATATATATGATTTTGTAGTGCACACATAATTGAAATTCTTCAGTTACTTCCTGTTGCCATAAAGATGAAGTCTAATGGCTTTAAAAAAGGTTAACAAGTTCCTAAATACTCTGGCTCCTTTCTCTCAGCCTTCTTAAGAACTTTAATAAAACTATGTTCAGCAAGAATACTGTCTGCTTAAATGTGTTTCTCAGTTCCAGAAGGAAATGGGAAATACCTTTTAAAAAGAAACTCATGAAGGAAGAAATTTGATTTACCTTGATGTTGTATTTACTTAAAATGTTTCATGTCTTTTATATCTTAGAAGATAAATATTTATGCAGATATTAACAAAGTGACACCTTTTCTACTTTAAAATTTAACAGTGACTTATTTACTTGTATTCTTATACTTCTCTGAGTTATTCAAACCTGGTATTCAGTTTACTGCATCCTAACTCAAGGAATCTACTTTTATTTAAGGCTGAGGCTATAACTAAATGTATCAAGCCCTGTAAGAAACACAAGTCATTTAAAGCACTGGTTTTGAGACATCATGCTGTCATTGTCAACAGAACTTTAAAACAATAGTAGCAGCATTTCATCAACCATGTAATAAACCAACACGTAAAATATAATTTGCCGTTACCACTGTTGTTTAGAGGAAGGTTCAGATTTCAAACATTAGTAACAAATCTCAGAACAAAGGTCATTTGTTTAAAGTGAGTGAATTTCACATTATGGAAAAACTCACTATGATAAACTTACTCTATCCCTCTCATCTGATCATTGAATAACAACAACAACAACAAAAAAATTTAGGGAGAATTTTAGATATTTTCACCTGAATGATTTTTAAACTCTATTTGAGAATGATTTTTCTGTGGACCTTTGTGGACCTTGCAAATCCATTCTATTCAATATTAGTAAGTATTGTGAAAAGACAGTAAATCTTGGGGCCCCACATCACCAAGCTAAAGGAAAAAGTCAAGCTGGGAACTGCTTAGGGCCAACCTGCCTCCCATTCTGTTATCAAAGTCTCCCCTCTGCTCACAAGATAAATGCACATCTGACTGCCTCCTTTGGAGAGGCGAATCAGAAACTCAAAAGAATGAAATCATTTGTCACCTATCTAACCTATGACCTGGAAGCTCCATCCCTGCTTTGAATCTTCCCGCCTTTGCTTCCAGTTGTCCCTCCTGTCCAGACCAAGCCAATGTTTGTCCTGGGTATGTTGATTGGTGTCTCATGTCTCCCTAGAATGTATAAAACCAAACTGTTCTCTGACCACCTTAGGCATACGTCGTCAGGACCTCCTGAGGCTGTGTCACGGGAGCACGTTCTCAGTCTTGGCAAAAAAACAAAACAAAACAAAACAAAAACTTTCTAAATTAACTGAGACTTGTCTCAGATTTTTGGAGTTCACCGAATCATGGCTCAAAGACCCGGAAGTAATGTTACTGTTTTGTTTTCTTTTAATTTGGTCTCTTTTGCTTCCACATTTGTTAGCTCTAAGAGCTCTGTAGTCTCTAAAGAC